GCGGTACCCGAGAGAGTTCACTACTCTTACAATTTGGGAAATTATGCATTGTCGCATTACTTACTGAAGTTCCTGGTTTAGTTTAACACCGGAATGCAGCCTCAAGTGAGGATAAAATTTATTTGCAAGTCCCGCCAAAATCTCGATACCAGGTTTTGTTCAAGTAATATGATTACCTTGTCCGATTTCCTAAATGGTCTGATAAAATGCAACCCACTATAAACAGCTGATTAGACTTACACCGGGCAGCACGCAATCGTTAAGAGACAGGTAGTTAGGACGCTGGCTGTGCTCCACAAACAAGAAATCATCCAATTTGTTATAACCGCGCACACGTCAAGTCACATGATGCATGTTCAGAGCCCATTTAGTGAAAAAAACCCAGGGGGGACTAATCAGAGTCCCCATCCTTAGCAATCCTTGTGGCGACGGAATAGGGCGCAGACATATTGGACCACGCTGGCTTCAGCCAATCCTGTGTCACTCTGCGTTCCAATGGCATGCGAGGTAGAATGGCAGCCAACCGGAGAAATACACGAATGAGGAGCAGTATATATTGAGCGGCGTGGCCAGCGTGGTGGACTCGGATGGAAGGCGCCTGACGCGTGGCTCTGGCTTCTGATTGGTCAATAAAGCCTGTTCTGTTGTACCGGTCTTTTCCTATTAGGGCTCGGGTATTCTACATTGGTGGCAGCGGATGCGGTCGAATAACGTGAATCGAACCCAAGCCCATTCCTTGAAATGGTCAACAGAGGCGAAGACCCTTAAATGCCAGCTGAAGTTGTTATGGAGGCCATCCGATGTCCCATATCTTGGATCAATAGACATTGCCCGGAATTAGGACTCCTGCATCTGAAGAGCCATTGGCAACTCAGCAACGACGACTTGGACAGTGAATAGCAGCTAGACTGCATCTGCGGACGGACCTGCGATGGATGAAGCGTCCTTCCTGCAAGTCTACAAGACCAAAGTCCCTCGTCAACTATTCGCATGGGCCACTATCCTGCCGGATGTGGGGTGCGGGGAGTGTCGAACTGGATATTTTAACAGCCATGAATAGTGCGGTGAACCAAGCCAGAAGGTGAGGACAGCTTCACTCCTAAGGGGTAGGCAGTGTGGCGACGTCTGTTGTCGCAGACATATTGGACCACGCTGGCTTCAGCCAATCCTGTGTCTCTCTGCGTTCCAATGGTACGCGACGAAGATTAGCAGCTAACCAGAGAAGGACATGAATAAGGTGCAGTATATAATGAGCAACGTGGCCAGCGTGGTGGACTCGGATGGAAGGTGCCTGACGCGTGGTTCTGGCTTGCGATTAGTCAGTAAAGTCCTGTCTGTTGTACCAGTCTTCTTCCTATGAGGGCTCGGGTATTCTACATGTGGTTAGTCAAATTGTCGAATTAGTACCGCCATGACGCATATTTTTAGGCGGGTAAAGATATGGGCTGGTGCGGAATCGCCAATTTTTAAAATATGATGGCTGCCGTTTGATCCGAAGCTCATGAGGTTTGTTGCCGGAGTTTAGTTGGACGTTTGGGTTTAGTGGGTCCGTCCCACGTCCTTTTGATAACGTGTTTCCTGGGCGTCGGGAAAGAGTGGGGTCTCGAGTTGGCTGGGCAAGGCTGGTGCGGCCAGGCTAGTAGGTAGCTTCGGACACGAGAATGCAGTGCGTGGTAATCATTTTTCAGGTTAATTTGCATCTTTAATCTGAGTAAATCGCGTAAGTTGATTATCGCAGTAAAGGCGCCATGGGAGTTTCCAGAATACCGCGTTGCAAAACCTACTGTGGATATCAGGGGATAGGATCAACGTCACGACCGCTGTGTTACTCATTGATATCATGAGGCATCACAAGATCACGTTAGATAATGTCATTCTCATTCCAATGCCTAACTATTAATATTTTTTTAATGTCAGATTGCCTTGTAGAAAATTTCCAAAGTTCTAAGTGAGAAACTTGCATGCGCGTTGTTGCAAACAATTATTTTTTGGTGCCGCAATTTGCTAGTCACTAGAAATGCAAAAACTTCATGAACATGGGTTACTTAGAATGCACTAATTTCAATACAAATTCCTGCGATTGGTTGCATAATCTACCATCTCTCTATATACGTCTTGGTGCTTATCAGTCAGTTTTGATGGCTACAGTGAGTTGAGCTAAAGGATGGCTTCATTGCTTCAAAACACATGCTAGCTACGAAATTATCCGATGCTGTTAATATGGTTGAGCACATATTCGATAACGAAGGAAAAATGCTGTAGAGAGCCAATGTGTCCTATCCAGAATCACTGATTATTCATGGATTCTTGGTATCATAGCTTGAAGACATCATTTGTAATGTCCATTGCTGGTGCTGGTAAAAAAAGAATAATTTGATTTATTACTCAAGCTGCTTTGTATATTGCATGCCTTAATGCAAATATATTTACGATATCTTTATCATAACCCAACACGGCAAACAGTATTGGATAAATCATTGCAAGACAGACGAATATGATCACAAAACTTCCTGATGTTGCTGTCATACTCTTGATTAATAGGCTAAAATTTACGACCCAGACTGCTGCCGAGAGTGTTGTTTCAACATCACCTTTGTATTTAGAAACACCAATTTTATTGTACCTACAGAATGAAACAACTAAAATGGGTAACACTCGTTGCAACCGTAGAGAAATTGCACACCATAAATACAGACAAAATGTATTTGCATGCGACAGAAAGTTAACAAGCTTCGATGACTTTAAGTGCCGTGCAGGGTTCAGACAATGCCTAGCGCCTTTAATTTACCTGCGTTGGAGGCAGATTGAGCCTACAACTTTTAGAGCCTTTGCGACCCACGAGAGATGAATATAAAAAGCAGGGCGTTTGTAGGTTAAATCAGTACTGTTTTAAACCATTGAGCTGTTATAATGCTATCTAATTAGACTTTTATTCGCAGAACGCCATCGAATCAAGCTATACTAAGGTACTGACATAATTGCCAACTTGTAACCAACACACCGATTAAAAGCCTCTTTTCCTAGATCCTGAACAAAAGCTAGACAGGGCACCTCTCTCTCTCTAATTGTTGGTTAGTGTTTTAAGGACTGGCCCTCAATGGTGACTTGGCATTTTTTGCGTTCAGCCACACTACAAGATGCCGCCCAAGGTCACACATGACCAAACTGTAAAGAAAGATGAAAGTGCCGATGACGAATAAGGAAATGAAGAGGCATAGGAGAGGGAACTGAGCAAGTTACATCTGTAAAGTGCTGTTCCAGGTCCACCTCAACACTGGCTAGTAGTCCAGTGCTGCGCTGATTATGATCCCATTCGTAAGCGACATACTTGAAGAGACTGTCACTGAGTCCTGCCACCTAGTGCACTGCAATGCGAATTAAACAATCACCAGCATAGATTCGGACCGCTGTATGTCTCCGGTATCCTCTGTGGCATTAATACTGTAACGTACCACATTAGCTTCAAATAATAATTTAGTTCAATATGTTGCACGCATTACAGTTCATCCTTTTGAGACCAACCAACTGAAAATAAGTTATCTGGGTTTCCCACAAAATACAATTGGCGAGTAACGTCTGGATGATGCCTTGTTCTAGCATTATTTTTTTAAAAAAAGGTAACAAACCTAAATTGTATGCATTTAAGTTCATGTTTATTGAAAACTCCACAATGCTTTTTTGTTGTATTGGTGATCTGAAGCTGGGCGAAGCGAAATAGGCTTATCACTTACGATTTGCATGAGGTGCGTAATTGGCTGGATAAGCACATTATTAGTTCACTGGTTACACTTAGCTGTACTATAAAGGCAACAGCTACACTACCATGCTATTCGTTGATATAATTGTAGCTTTAACAGAAAGGATTGTTGACAAAACAGCGGACCTAGGCATACTTGATTGTCTAACCAACTGCCCAATAATATATATATATATATTGCAATAAATGCTTAAATTGGTGGATTGTGAACTTGTGGGTAATGAGTAACGCCCATCAGCGACATGGCCGTAGGAGATCTATCACGTAATACCTCTACTATATCATACACCTACTTATGGGTAAATGGGCTAAATTCAACGTAGTTGAAGCCAACATGTCGGGAACGTCAATAACTCCACGGTCCCACTCTCATTTTCAAGTGTTACGTTTGCCCGTAACAAAGATAAGACCACCCAAATAAAGGTACCAGATCCCATGCTGAAGCTAGAACCAACTTTCCCAGGCTAATACAAGAACAAGACCAGAGCTCGTGTAGAGAGCTTTATTCACGTCAGCCACGTGCAGAGAAGATAAGTATCGAAAGTGAAACTAATTCAAGTCAGGGTTAACTTCAACTTGGGTGGATCCCCAACACCAAGCAACATCGAATTTGCTCTACAACTCCCCCTGCGTCTCATCTCCAACTTCCCAATTTAGTCGACTGTCCAGAATCATGTCCACTCTGCTGATTTCGTACCATAATTATCAAGCGTTTACCGTATCTAACAGCTAACACACTTGACGTGGGTTTTTTTCAGTGGAGTGTCAGCTAACTCGCCAAATTTAAACCTCTTCAGCTGTGTCTAAGTCTACTGATTGGTGATGACGACTGAAAACCACACCCATCCACACGTAGACGATACACGTGGCTGGCCTAACGCCATTAAATGATAGTGTTCACCGCTGCCCATCTTAACCCTGTTTTTGGGTTGTTAGGGGCTGCTAATTAACAGGATTGTGGGGTACGGCACGCAAACCACTGCATCCTTAGTCTAATCTCGTACTTGCTACCATTGTCTTCTGGTTTAAGTAAACAGGGACATAAAAACATATTTATTAAAAAGTAATAAATTGGTAATGATGCTGTGGATAATTAAATGAGTGTAGAAATGAAACGAAATAGCAGAATGTTGCGAAGAAATTTATCGCAGTCAAATCGTGTCAGCCGTGGCTAAATCAACGCCTACAAACATGTCTGATGCTGCCATAGTTGTCCAGTTCCAATAAGGGTTGCAATTTAAAGTCAAATATATGTTCCTTGATCCACGTAGCAATACTTTGATAAGTCAATTGTCCCACTATCCTCATGATACTCCACACTTTCTGAAGTCGCACCTTCATCGCGCGGCTCCGGCACCAGTTCATTATCTGAAGAGAACCGAATCGCTCTGTCGTACGATTGACTCAAAAAATCAATGATCTGCTTGAACGTTGGTCTGTGAAGGGGGTCGAGGAACCAGCATGAAAGCATTAACTCGTAGACAGAGGCAGGGCAGGCTCGGGGTTGACGATTTCGGATCCCTGCCTGAATTGCCCTTAGGAGTGAATCCTCCGTGAAAGCTGGGTATGGAAATCCACCAAAAGTGAATATTTCCCATAGAAGAACCCCGAACGACCACCTGGACATTAAAATGAAAGCTTTAAATTACCAAACAGGGCCTCTTCTGAGGTGTGAAGAACTACCGTTTAAAGTGAAACTTAAAATGATTTCCATCAAAAATTTTACTCTATTATTGTAAGTCAGCCTAATTTACTAGAATAATTGACCACAAACACTTTGTAAATACAGAATAAGAGAAAAAAAACTGATTTCAAAAAAATATGGTCAAATTCATCGACAATGCTCCACTAGATTTTATTACACGTCATCTGACCTATCACGTCGAATCAATTTTTAGCCAAATTTTCGTGACTACCTGCACTAAAGTGACATATTACACCTTGTTGATGAACTGATTCCAATGCAATCCTGCCTCGGATTCCAAAGAGATAAATTATTAAGGATCCTTAACAAAATCCAACTCGAGTCATAAAAATTCCGCCTCAACCGTGTTCCGGTGGCCTCATTTTACGTAGCAAATGTGCCATAGCAAACATGAAATCCGCATAATTTAAACTTTCTAAAACCTACACGTCACTCTTCCTTGTGTAGCAACGGTGGGATATTGATTCCGGAGCCATCCACCTTACTGGCATTGGACCCTTGCAATGAAAAGTGCAAAGCGTATAAATATATGTAGCTATTTATCGAGTCAGAGATACCTCGGCATAAAACTGCCAGTTGACACCACGTAGTCCTTGTCACTTACATTACCTTTCAACTTAATGCTAAAACCCCCATCCAAACTGCATCATCGGTATCCTCGGCATTCTTCCCGAGAATCGAGTAGCTATTTTTACATGACGATTGCCCAGCGGAGTCAGCGAGTCAATCTAGCCAACTCACTAAGACGGAATTAAAAAAAAATGCTGTAGTTAGCCAAGTTTTTATGAATGATCTGTAGTTCAATCTTCTAGTCAACTTAAGACTACATGTGCATTGGCTGCCCAGTGCTTCTGAGAAAATCGGACCATAGTAAAACGTCAACATATAAAAACAATTATCACCATGACCAATGGCGCTAAAAATGACTGTGTTCTAAATACTACTAGAACGCCAAAAAGCTATCACCAAGCAAACAACACTAGGTAAGCATAAAGTTGCCTAAGGTTTAGGTTATTCTGACGTGACTCACGTCAGTTAAGTGAATCCCATAGAGCTTAAATAGTTTCCTGGTCATGAATATGTTTAGGGTGTTATCGAAATAATCAGAACACTTAAACCTGTGTGACGTAAATGTATTTGGCTTGTGCAATGGCACACGTGACAAAGTGCCCCAAATCAGGTCTGTGTTATTCAATTTTTACAAGGCTCACACTCGCAAACCGGGATACTTTGACATAAACTTGTTTTGAATCGTCCACCGACATACACGCCAAGGCAAACGATTTGGGTCTAGTTGTCTTGGGTCACATTGGAGGATCGTGATCTTTCTTACCATAAATTTGAAAACAAAGTCCAGCTGACAAAAGCCCGGCACACGTCTGGCATAAGGGGGTGAAAATTGCTTATGCTCACCATTTTTGGCAGTTACATTGTTCAGGATCAAAATTCAGCACTTACTTCATTTTGATCACAAAAGCAGTCGCGAGCCTTCCTCGCTAGCCCAAAATCAGCTATTTTAGCTTCAAAGTTAGATCCGACAAGGACGTTTCGTGCTGCGAGGTCACGATGAACAAACTGAAAAGCATCAATCCGTGTTCTGCGCTTACAAAATCTGGAGAAGCAAAATTATTGCGTGATCCCATTAACTCACATGTTGTCTTGAAATATAGTCCATTCCATTTGCAACTTGCTGCCCGAAATCAATGAGATGCGACGCACGCAGGTGTGGTAAGGGCAGCTCCTCCACGTCCCTTACTGCTCCAGGCCTACGTTTAACTAGAAAGTCTCGTAAATTTCCGTAGGGGGCAAACTCAATCAGTATTTTCGGTGCAACTAAAATGTAATTTTACAAAGTTTGTTAACTGGGCAGGAAGTTTCCTCTCGATATCTTGTTAAGCACATTACAGCAAACATCAAATTTTGGCCATTTTTCTACCAAGAACTCCGATGGTTAATCTGAATGTAATAAACATTTAACTTAAGTACTTGCATAAATTAATCCAAGTAATGTTAAAAACGGTAAAAGTGACAACAAAGTATTCTTAAACAGCAAAGCTTTGTTGGGAAATTCATTTTGCTTTATTAGTACTAACTTGCTAAAAAGGACTGTTTTAAATACTATTTGAACACCAAGCAAAGGACATTAGGACCAACTTGCACTGAGATCATGTACGACAATTGACTGCACGGATCAGTAGTGCTAATTACCAGGCATGCGAATGTACATATTAGATTGAATGACTAAGAATAAGCCTCCCTGTACCTGACTAAATTGTCTAAACAGCTTGTAATAAATTGACGAAAATTCTAGCAGGGTTGATAAGAAATTATTATGATTAAACAAGAAGCATGCCAAAGATCTCTTATAGTGAATTCGCTATACATTAAACTTTAAAGCGTTTGGTGAAAATAATGCAAAAATGCCAGACCCTGAGATGCAGGAAGTGTGACAAAGTTGACTGCAAAATAATTCACAATATTCTAATACAATTTTTCTTTAGAAATATACGTGGATGGCCACAATCGTTTTGCGAAAATACATACCTCGCCTGTCAAATAGTCATCTATTCTTGAGTTAAATGTACGAATGACATCGGTGAACTCATTGTAAAGTACAACTTTTGAATTGTTCAAATCACTTTAGTGAGACCTTTTTACCTAAGCATTCATAATTAAAATCCACTGCAGCGCTCAGTCCAAGTCGCTTTTTCAAGGCAAATTTTCTCCACGGAACACATGACGAGATAAACTGGAGGTGACCTCACGAAAGCTGACTTAAGGTACATTTGACAGGCAATGGTAAAAAAGGGATTGTTGGATTAAATAAGGAAAAACAAAAGGCTACGCAGTCTAATATGACTGAAAATAGTATTGGGAGATGACATATACATTGGCATCATTATTAATAGAGGCTGTTTTTCTAAAATGTATAAATTCTTTCGCTCCTTTAAGCTTTTTAAATGCATATTTTAATATTGATGTGCCATTACCGTACAGGTACCTCCCAGATCTCCAATAGAGATAAACACAAACTGCATTGACAAGCGGACAACTAAAGTGCTGATGCTGCATTTATTAAGCATATATGACACGATTTACTCCATTGAATTCCCTAGGACTTTAATAATACGGCTGTGAATTCCCGTATTGTCTACTAGGGACTTTGCTATCAAATGAATCAATGGCATGCTTTGTAATTTGTACAACAGCCATCAAATCCCATTCAGAGGAACGCGCACAATAGTATGAAGTAAAAATAAGTTTATATCCATGCGATTAAATGTTGTTAAAGATCCGCACTGTTTCCCAGCTATACCACACTGATCCACAAAATAAAGCAACGTCTCTACTCTATCGCCTAAATTTTACCATTCATTCCTACATTTTGAAATTCACACGACTGAGTTTTGCAAGTAATATCAATTCGGGCGGCCGTTTTGATGATGTTTAGGCATATATTTGAAAATAGCAAGTGCATTTTTATTATGCTGCCTGTTTGAACTTCATAAAACTCTAACAGCGGATAAGCGCACTCACAGCCTCGGGTGCAAGCACCGTAAAATTGAATCACGTGCGGATGCGAACCGAGCAGCTTCATAACCCCTATTTCATTAGCCAGGCTTGCTTTCTGCCTTTCACTGCAGTTACCTACAATGTAAAAATATTTCAGAAATTTAATCCTTTTAAGTCTCGTGATGGTGGACGTCTGGTTATACGACGAATGAGTTGAAGGAAGCGGATTAACATGGTGATAGCCTAAAAGTTGAGGTCTACTTAGAAACCAGCATTAAAAAGTAAGTGGCAGAAAGGGGATTCGCCAAAGTTGAACGCAACAGTCTAGACCCAAGTGGCGTACCTTATTCCGGCTGTGTGACTGATATCAGTGGAAAAGTGCTTGAATGACTACAGAGCACACAACGTGAAGTTAAAACACTTTTTGTCAAACTTTTGCCTTATTAGACAATGTTCACCAATAGGTGTGAGTGCCTTAAAAGTTAAAGGGAGAACATAATACACCCACGGCCAGTTTACTTGCCTAGCACTGGAAAACACCTACGTAAATTTATCTAGGAAGAGCCAATTTAATGTCCTTACTGACGTTTGAAGTGGACGGGCGTAAAAGTATGATGTGTGACCTCTGACCTCACAAAATGATGCTATTTGAGGAATGATTGTGAGGACCTCCTCAAATGCCGCGATTACATTGGTGGAACGGAAAGGAAATTTTTAAAATAACGGTCGTAATTCCGTGCTACCCATCAAATTGTTCTAAATGCTCCTTATCGATTCAATTGACACTAAAATATTAATTGATTATGAATGAAAAAATTGAAAGCACTAAAGCCGTGGTATAATGAATGGATAGGCACAATAATGTTAGCAAAAAAGCAAGCCTGCCGATAGGATCGTTTAAACTTGTGCATAAATACGCCTGAAGGGTCACGCATTTACTTATGTTCCGTGATAAATATTTAAGCCCAGATATCTTTCCTATAGCGGTACAAAATCTATTATTTAAATACACAAAAATGGATAGACGGTATCGGATCTAGCCGTTCAAGATGTGGATGACCCTCCATCTAGTCATATAGCTTCACTTAAAATTTATTCCCTGAAGTGAAATTGGTGGACAGCTTGATCCACTGACATCCAGGTCACAAAACATGTGAAGCGACACTTCTTTTGTGAGTTTACGGATGCTTTAAAATCTAACACTTCCTATACGTGCCACCAAACGTTACTTTTTTTTTGAGAACACACACTCTTGGCTTGCTATCAGCAATTGAGCTTCTACGTGCTGAGAAACTAAGCAAAAACACGGGCCGCATTTGTATAAAAACAGCAGCAATGGCCTTTTTGAAAAGAAGTAAATTCAAAAACTCTAATAGGAAACGTTGATAAAGACGGAACGCTGCAGGAAATACATGCCTTGAACTCAAGGTTTCAATGGAATAAATAACACTAAGTGTAATAAAAACTTAGTTTTTAAATTAGCTATGGATGCACCAAGTTAATTTAACACCCTTGCTCATTCGAAAAATTTATAGAATGTCCGAATTTACTCTGATGACAAACCAATGGTGAACCCCGGTGGTAATAAAACATGACTCAGGATATCTAAACCCCTTTTTATTCACCTTAGAAAAACTCATTTTGATGAAAAAACGTGCAACCTTTTCAGCTTTACCACTTGTACAGGATAGTGAATAATGAGTCTTACCGGGCTTCCCCCATCAAGTGTTCATATTTTGTTTGGATTAATTTTTTTGGTCCCTTATCATACAAATATCGCAAGTCCCACAAACAAGGTAAATCTACAAAATGCAGCATATTTTGATCACTGTTCTTGGGGACGCAAAGTCCTACAGTATAACTTAAGAAAGTGGCCTCGAAAACTATGTTTACTTCAAATTAAACATATTTGGTCAATTTTCGGTTCGGATCGGTGAGATACACTGACGCATTCAACGACAACACAATTTTTTTGACGGATTTACGATCAGTCGACTAACCCACTAATAAAGGCGAAATGAGGATGCTAACTAAATCTAAGACAAGTTTGCCAAACTTTCACAAGTAGTCAAATTTGCAAGGTTCAAAATTTGCGTCAAAATATGCAAATCTGTACAATTCCCAAATCAAAAGTCAAAACTAGCATGCTAAATGCAAAAACTGCACTTTGAGATTAGCAGAGCGGTTTCTATTCCCAAATTACTGTGCATTTTAAATGAATGTGAAATTTGCGACAAAATCTAACGTTGTACTGTCACCTGTTTCAAGGACCATCACAAAGCCGAAATGTCATTCGTCTCTGGAACGCCTAGAAAATTAGTGACTTTTTTTTAAATTAAGCATTTAGGCAATAGTTGAAGCAACTGAATAACAGGCTTATATCACACTGGTATTATAGTGAAGGTTCGCTGAGATTTTTGTCGTTCTAGTCCACCGAAATTCAACAGTCTGGCGTGCTTATGGATTGAAAACGTACACCGTAGAGTTTTAACGGCAACCGTGAGTTCCTGTACGGATCTCCAACGTCTACCGTCGGGCGCTGGTGTGTTTTGCCTTAGCAACCGCGGTAAGACCTGGTCGGGCTGGCCAACTATTGCTTCAAAAACAACCCCGAAGGCTCCAGAACCAAGTTTTCTGCCAAGGTGAATGTTGTCATTCAATATCTCCCAAACAGGATCGTAAGGGATCACATAGGAGACACGGTTTTCTTCGGAAGCAAAGTTGCTTCGGCTTGTGTGTACTGTTGTTGAATGAGACCCGTGTTCATGGATTACCACCATCGGTATCTAGATAGCAAGGTAAAAGAATTCTTAACTTAGTCGTATCTGGATTCTTATTTTGCTTGGTATACATCAGACGTTTAACTTTAGGGGACTAGATTTGAGCAGACGCAAAACCTATGTAAAATACAATGGCTAAATTTAGGATAACCTTTTTCACCAAGCCTTTCCACCAGAAGTGCAATAAGACAATGGCTAAAATACTCTTTCAAAAAGCGAGTAGTAAATTCATCTTCAGATTGATTTACTAGTATGTTGCTTCATTTATCAATTTGTTCGAAATAAATAGGGGCCAAATAAATTGCAGGATTGTAAACAAGTAGTTTCTCAAAAAAAAACATTTAACTATTTTTTCAGTCTGGTTCCTTAATTTTCTCATCAACACCAATCATGGCTACGTTGCAGTGCCTTCAAATAAAGACCGCTCGTTCGTAAATCACTCCCCTAATTTAAACATTCTACTTATGGGAAATCACTGAAATTTTTCGAGTTTCACTACTGAAGCAACGGTATTTAAGCAGTCTGTATGTTACAGACTTTATTGGCGGGCCAGTCAGACCAAGTTTTGAGGATAGAAAATCGCAATTACTTAGTGGGTTTCCAATAGCAGATCAAATTTAATTATTTTCCGCATAAGAAAACGCACACTCTGGTTGAGAGTAGGAATGGCTAGATTATTAGGTTATCGATAAGGGAACGCTAAGTGGATCTTTAACGTTTAGTGCTAATTAACGCCAGAAAAGTACAATTAAGTAAGTTCATCTCAACGACCACTCCAGACAGTTGACACACTTTCGACAACTTTGTTAGCGTACGATAAAACGAAAAAGGCAGGGTTTGCAGTCCAACTTTGACAGGATATATTTAAGGAAGTTTGTAACTGATTACGGAAATATGCTTACAAGGACATTCATTGGTTTTATTCAACTTCATTTAGGAAGCAGCATAAATTACAGAAAATTATTGCTATAATGCGTTGAGAGAATTGTGTTTCTTTTGAAAAACGAGGGCAATTCACCAATGTGATAATGGCCAGTGATTAAAATTAAAGATTATCTTTGGCCTTACCACAGACAATATTGTTAAAAAGTAAAATAGTCGAGTCCTAATGCTTTAACCTGCGAGAATTTTTTAAACCAGAGGTAAATAGGTAAATCCTCTGACATCGTTCCATCTCCTACCAATCTGTGTCACTTCTATCTAATCAGAAATTTAACAAATTTCTAGGCGCTATTAACACGTCTTGAAATCTCGATGTTTGCACATGGCCTGAGGACAAGGCACTACACCTTAGGATTAGGAAGGTTAGTGATCAAGCACGGAAATTCTGCAGGGTCTTCTTATGCCCAAACCAATGCGAACGTAAGCGTGTGTTTTGTGGCCTAGTAAACTAATGAACAACCAAAATTAAACCAACCTGAGGACTCCTAGTCTCGGAAATATCATCTCCTCTTCGCTGAAAACATGGTGGGCAATCAAGATGGTTTAACACGTTTGCAGGAGTCCCCAGCTCCACAGAACACGTTCGACGCAAGCAGTAGGTGAAGGCTGTGAAGCCTCCTCCGATAATGACGACTAGCAAGCAAGTTAACGCCAGGATTAAGGGGATGTTGATCTCACGGCTTGACAACGCGCTCACATGGATTGGCATTTCTGAAGAAACTGAAAAAGAGAAACCCTAAGTTTCTATCTGCTTACAAAAAAATTAAATATGTAAGCTCATAAAGCAATTTGATATTCTTTAAAACAACCTTTTCTTGTTCGACAGCAATTTGGCCCGTACCCCTTAGTTCCACATAGGGCCTTCATCGCACACGAATTACAGATGGTGAGTTTTTTGTTACCCTACGTTTACACTTTACATCAAATAGATGCTTTATTTTTTGGATTAGCTTGTCTTTTTTCAAGTTTATGAGGTAAAATTATGTGCATGTATTTCAAAAAATTATATCGACATCAATATTCCTGGCAGAGCTTTAATTAAAATCAAGGTAATTGCTATAGATAACATTTGCTTTGGATAAACAAAACAAATGTTATCCACCTTCTACTGCCGCATAATGTGAGTGTGACTAACCACTGTGCTTTTGGATTAGGTTCCCCAAGAAATAGAATATAATAACTATTAACAGAACTTAAATCTCATACATGTTTAATGATTTGTTAATTGTTAATCACGATGGCCCTGAGTGAAAGCACTTGACTAATGCAACACAAACATCGGGTGCCAGCAACTAGAAAAATTCTACTTTATGTTAAAAGATTGGGAAGGAAGAAACCATCAGCTTTTCTGGACATTACTTAAATGAGCATAAACAGTACCACACCTTATAGGAAAGTTCCCTAAAAAATCTCAAATTTCATGGGAACCCAGCGTTTGCATTGCAATGAGAAATCATGCGCATAAAAGCAAAAAGATAAAAGTACAGTCATTAAATTGTACCAAAATTAGAAAGTTAATGGGCAACAAAGTTGATTGGTGTTCTTAAACAATTAGGTATTTCTCATTGACTAGCTTGTTAGGAAAAAAAGAACTTGAATTGCCTCGATAGTAGGCATTACCATTAAAAAACTTATTAGTCTGCACAATTCACGAAGACAACAGTACAATGGATTGCCCGAAATTAGCATTTACGCGACGCTGATTTATTCTTGGCACCATACTTCTCTACTGATTAAATGCAGCTATAGAACCACACCACTATCCTCTACATGCCCCAGGGGACCTATTTACGATGAGTGGCGGAAGATACTTCCCTAAACTCGACCTGGCCGACTCCTCTACCTACAACCAGAAATCGCCCCTGTTCACTGTTGACTATCAATACTCATTGCGGTATATTCCAATACAGCTACCTACCCTTAAGAGTTAAGACCGCTCCTGCTATTTTTTAACAATTCATGGACACCATCCTGGACAACAATTCTGGAGTGGCAGCATACCTCGACGACCTACTAACTGTAGCTTGCTTGCGAAATGAGTTACGCAAGCGGATCCAAATAGTGCTTCAACGGATTCAAGACAACGAGCTCAAATTTAGCCAAGAAAGAAGCGAGTTCTTCTGACTTTGGTCAAGTATCTGGGTTTTATCTTTGACTCCTCTGACCAGCATCCGGATCCTGAGAATTTCCGCGCCAAACAACAAATGCCGATTCACAAAGATGCTTACTCACTGCGCTTCTTCTGGGGATTGAAAAGCCACGTATACCGTCGATGCACAATGTCCGACCACCACTAAATCACTTGCTTGGGAAGGATGTGCCTTGAGTTTGGACCAACGAGTGCAAAGCGACCTTCTGTCAAATCAAATCAATGTTCAGTTCGGACCTGCTGCTGACCCATAATTATCTAAATCTACCGATGGTTGCCGCAGCTGACGTCTCTGCCAATGGCATCAAAGTTGTCATTCTCCACGTCCCAGAAGAGACAACATCAAGGTCGCTGACAACGACAGAACAGAGGTACGCACAGATTGAGAAAGATGATCTTGCTTTGGTTTTAGCTGTCCGCGATTTCCATAAGCTCATTTATGGCCAACAATTCACTCTAATGACAGACCATAAGCCATTACTGTTAATGTTTTGTAAAAAAAATGGGCATCCCAACTCACTCCGCGAACCGGCTCCAAAGGCGAGGACTTATCATACTGGGTTGACTTCAAAATCCAGTTCCGTCTCACAAAGGACTTCGGGCAGACAGATTCCCTATCACGGCTCATCAGTAACCGGCCCATCACTAAGGAAGATGCCGTCATGGCCACCATCCACGTTGACGAAGGTATCACACAACAGCTATCTCAGACAGTTTGAGCACTGCCGATTTTGATTCTCGACATCAGATGGAAAAGGGCCTTAGAAAACCCACTGCGGCAGGCCATCCGTTACGTCCAAGAGAAGTGGCCAAGGAGCTCACCCTCTGGAGATCTTCAGCAGTTGTTCCAGCGACGTGATTTTCTTTGAGTTATAGACGGCTGCTTGATGTTCGAAGAACGAGTTGTGATGCCTAAGTCACTACGCGCGCACGTTCTTCGTCAATTTCATGCTGGCCATCCTAGAATTGGTCTCATGAAGTCAATCGCCCGCAGCTACGCCTACTGGTCAAATATGGATCAGCAAATTGCAGATCTAGTCAAGAGTTTTTGCTGATGCTAGCAGGCCACCAAAAACCCTCCCAAGGTTCCTTTAACCCCTTGGCCACAACCAAAAAAAACTTGATCACGCATCCATGCCGACTTTGCGGGCCCGATCAATGGGGTCTCATACCTTGTGCTGAAGTAAGCCTACTCAAAATGGCCAGAGATCGTCCCATTGACTTCCCCCACAACAACAAGAACATTACAGACTCTATGCCAGATTTTCAACCAACATCGGATTTTGGAACCTATAGTCTCCGACAATGGCTCACAGTCTACATCGCAAACATTCACGGAATTCTGTCGACAACATGCAATTAACCATATGTGTTCCCCACCCTACCACGCACAGTCAAATGGACAGGCGGAAAGATTCGCCGATGCACTAAAAAAGGCCCTGCTAAAATCCCGTGGGGAAGGAACGACGTCTGTCAACGGCCCACAGAATTTCCAGTTGGTGTATCTTACAACACCAAAGAAAACTCTTCCAAATCGAGTCACCATCCGAGACACTCATGGGTTGCAAATTGTAGACAACAAACTCCGCCATGATACCGTTACTAGACAACCGCCTGGAGCTTCCAAATGCGAAATCTACCACGCCATTTGAGATTGGAACAGCCGTGGACGTTCGAGACTATCGACCGAAACACGACACATGGATCAAGGGGACGAAAGGTCATGTTCGACGTGACAGTGGGTCACGGCACGTGGTCAGGGTATTGCAAATAGGTCTGATGAAGAAAAGGACCTACGACATCGAATCGTCATACAAACTTCCCGCAGGATGTGCTGGTTGATATTTTCCAGCTGCTGACAACGAAAGCAGGGCAAGTAAAATTGGTAGCAGACCAATCATGACGCCCAAGTCGGATTTGTCGAAAACGACGGCACCCAACATAACTCCAAGCCGACCCAAAGAAGAGGCGTTACTAACATCTCTAGGGAAATAGGTGTCGCAGATCCAGGATTCCCCAGGATGGCTCATCACCGATTTCGTTATCATTTACGCTAATTCCCAACTTCATCCACCAGGTCAAGGTCACTCTTGACTTATATAAGTATCGGCCTTCTGACAGATAACTCGCACTGTCTGACGCGACTAAAACTGTCTGCACGATCTCTGATCTTGTCTTGCATTAGCATGAAAAGGTCGGTTCTAGCGTCAGACATGGGATCTGGTACCGGTTATCGGAGTGGATTTTTTTAATTGTGGGCATTAACCACCTACGCACTGTTCAACGACCCCAATCATAAAACCATGTTCTTTAAAGCACTATACCGAACTCGCGAGAATCCACTTCTACAGTTTAACTGCCCCACACTCAGATCTTTGGCCTATCGTGCATGTACTGCGACCAATCATGTTCGATTCATAAACAGACACAAGCCCATTAAATGCTCAGTTGGCTAGATTATATTCTCTTGATGCGGTTCTCATCGCTTAACTGTCTTTCAGTCACCATCTTTCATTCAATGATTAAGGAATACAAATGGCCAGGTGAGAGGCTTCCGTACCAACATTGCCGCTGGCTTACCGACCATTGAAAATGTATGTATACCCCACTACTGATTTTGATTCAACTTGTCAAATAGGCATTGAGATAAACTAAAACTAGTTTTCCTCATGCGAGGACTCACGGAGCCCTAGACGAGTTCTACAAACAAAATGGCTTGTTGAGGGCCCGCAAGTCCTACTAACGCCCCATGGTCCCCCCTTAAGCGTATACTTGCATTCCGCTCTACCCCTTCAAGCATGATTCACCCGTAGAGGTGAGGCGACAACAATGTGCGCACACAGACGTGTCCGCTGCACACCTTTTATCGATTTTCTTTGGACGTGAACTTGAGGCCTGTCACAGCCTGTCTGTGCTCAGTCTACATGAAAACAGTTTAAAAGTAGTGCTGTCGCTGTCGCATTCCTGGCCTCGCTAAAGGGGCTTCCAAATTTCAGTGCCATATTTTTAGCTAAGATTAAGGTACCCCAATTTGTGCGGATTATTTTGGATATAAAATAGCTTACCATTCCGGGTAATATTGGCTGTTAGGAGGCCCGTGGCGTTTGACTGATCCTCGAGTGTTTTCCGACTACAAATTGCAACAATAAATGTTGGGTTACTTTTTTCCAAATTAAAGCGTTGTCTATATTGACATTTACTCAGGAAATCCTTTCAGTAATTTGAGGAAATTTTGCTTTTGAATTCTAACCCCCAGGTCTTAGTGGTAGTCATGGTTGTGGCCTTCTAGTTTCCTTGGGTTGCTGACTTAGCAGGGTCCTTCAGGATTAAAAGGCATTTTAAGAAACGGTCTTTGGTAGTTTAAAATGAAAGCAAAAAACAAAGAGCCGATGCATGTGAGCTCTGTTAGAGTATGTGAACTTATAGAACCCACAAACTTCCTATCGAATTTTGACAAGTTCACTCGTAATCTACTTAAGATTTAGTAGAAAACTGACGTGCTCATGAGCTTTATGCCCAAACGTTTGCGGATAGTTAGGCATATATCAGCTACCCATATTTAAGAAGTTAGGCCTTGGGTTTTAAGAGGATACCGTCCACACCAAGTTTAAGGAATGTATTCTCAAAGGCATCTTAACTAATTTAGATTGTGGCCATGTCTTCATCCTAGCTTTTGTGTTCAAATCACACTGTGCCCATTGTCTCAAACATGAGTCCACGGTATCTGTAGTCCAAATACGACTGGGAAAGTGGGAGACGACCGTGTTCCCACCAAGAGTGCATCTGCCGAAGTGCAGGCATTGACCGAATGTATCGTTCCGATTTCTCTTTCAAGTCCTTTGAAAATCCTTCCCTCTTCATGCCTACTATTGCCAATGCTGTGGCTGAAATCACTTGCTGACGAAGGTAAAATATCGTCAGTACCGTGTAAGGCTTCGAAGATAAACACCACGCGCTAATGAATAATCATCACATATTCTCACAGCCGACCCACAAGGATCCTATTCATGGTTTAAATCGTACATCAAAGAACTATCAAAATTTAATTAAGCTGAGAATTATTCCAGTAGTTTGCGACAAGTTTGCGTAGTTTATTTGTCGTATCTTGACCTCTAATGCGCACACGGTAAAGCGACATAATTACCAAACTATCTACGTTAACACCGGAGTAATAAAACATGAATCTAATCATCAGCGAACCGCTTTCCTTGTAAGTTGCGGCTTGCCTCCCCGAATCGCCTGTTCTCATCTCTGTGCCAAATATGCAACCTTGTTGACCTATTAGTTCAGCAAGATACAACTTCGTAATTGAGGATCTAACGTTTAGGAATAATCGCCCCGTAATGTAATATGGCACGAATAAAGAGGAATTCAAATTTACTTGACGAGACTTCCCACTTTCCGAGACCCTAATACATATTATTTACCTTCATACCCACTTAAGGTTAACTAGCGTTAGGTTATAGACTGGCAGATTGTATTTTAGAATTTCTATTTCGAAACCTAGTAAACCTCTTATTTTCACAACTAGCAAGGAGATTGTTCTAGTCTACTTACGCAGGCACAACGCGGAGTTCCTGTTCACCGATGCCCTCAGATTCGCCTGCCATGTGAGCCCTGTAAACGCCCGCATCTGCATGAGTAACCTGATGAACGAGAAGTCGAGCCAACCTGCAAGTCTCATTGGTGGGGGTGGCGGAAATGGATGCCAGAGCACCAGGACAGGCCGTCTTGGATAATGACGCTGTGTACTGAACACAAAAGTGTACACGAAAGGCATTTTATCAAAAGGCGATTAAGGTCACCTTTGGATATATTATGACTAAAGTGACAGACCTGAAGGGCCACATCATGACCGAATGTCCGTTCAAATAAGGAATTACGAAGCCAAATTTTTCTCAGGTAATATCTACCACAATTACCATTTTTGCAAACTATGACAAACTGCCAACCAATCAAATCAGTAATTGTATCAAGAAGGCATTTTAGAGATTACAAACTAGCAATTATAACTTATCGTGCAAAGTAAATGCAATCACTCGTCACGTTTTGATAAGGTGCCTAGTTTACGCGTACCATTTTCGCTGTCGAAGTACCTTATTTGTAAAAACACAAGGAAGCATCTAAACAACTGAACGAGTTTTTTTA